CTAGACCACTCAAGGTAATTCAGACCATCAAAGGGAATAACAGCCATGGGAAAGCTCATATCCATTCCCCCACTCACTCCATTGTGGCTCCCTGAAATCTCTGAAGTAGCAGAATTCTCAGTCGACATGGTCAAACAGATAATTAGTCCCAAATACCAGACTTAGGACCCCTCCTTACTCCACAAAACAATGCTCCACTTAGTCCACACCCACACACTTGGGTTTAACAACCAGGTTGAGCACAAACACTACCAAATTTCGGACAAAACAGAGGTAGTATTCGGCAAATTTCAGACCTATATAGTTTTAATAGTCCCAACCTACCAGAATTCCAGAATGTCTAACAACCACTAATCAGCAGGAGAGATCCTTCTTACTTATAGTCAAATCAAACCATTGAGAAGACAGGTCATCCTTGACCTACAGTTGTCTTAACACATGAACAAGATCACACGATCCAAAAAAATAGGGGGTATACAGATTCAGCAGCATTCAGCTGCCCAGACTCATAGGGTTTTCACTCGGCACATGACCAAGGAGGGTAAAGAAGAGAAAACAAGGAGAATTGTACCAGTTGTAGAGTTGTTTTTCAGTCCATAATCAAATTTATGTTCCGCCCAGGTTCAACTAGTCTGTTTGATCTGTTCTCTCAGTAAGGTTGTTCGATCTACTCTCTTTAATCAGTATTCCCGCTCTAATACCATCTTGACAGTATGACCGGCCAGAAATAAGAGGAAGAGAAGAGAAGAGAAGAGGAGAAGAAGAGAAGAGAAGAGAGAAGAGAAGAAAGAAGGGTTTTGCAATGTAACAGTGCTAGCGGCGCCAACCTTTATTTTAATATATATAAAGCGGCAGAAATAACAAGGGAAAAGACCCTTGTGCCCCTGAGTACAATAACAGACATAACAGAAAGAAAAAATGAAATAAAAAACACTTTAATTAGCCAAACAGGCCCTAACATCAACAACTAAATTATTTTAACATTATTTTAACAGCTTCCTTGCTTTTGATCAAGGCAATCTTGAAGTCCACAATGGACCGCTTCTCCTCACGAGCGTCCTCATAAGTTTGGTCCCTGGGTTGTAGAGGGTGCGCCTTGGACGATGAAGCCACCTCGGTCTCATGTGATGGCCTCTCTGCTTGATCTTCCTCAACCAGGTTGGCCATTGGGACTTCCTCAGCAGAATCTGGCATGAAGGGCTCAGGAGTTGATGCCCAAGGTGTGTCATTGTGAGTTACCTTCCTCTTCTTCCTTTTCCTCATATTCTGGAGGAACCCCAAAGTTGCGATACCCGACATGTCTCCTGCACAAGAAGCTTGAGAGTTAATCAAATCAACGTGAAGCAAGGAAAACAAACACCCGAACCTAGGACTACAACCTACTTGGAGGACTCAGCCCGGCCTGGATTAGTTTCTCCTCGGCCAAGAAGTCCTCCAGATTCAGCTGGTAGTCTACCAGATTCCGTATCCTGGCCTGCACCTGTTTGCTCAATTCCTCCCCAACGTCCTTTACTCCCTCTCTCCAGTGCGTTGGGAAGGGCCACCCACCGAACAACGTGAGGAAAGGAAAAATATTTACTCTTCCAAGCCGGGACTTTAGAAGGAAAGCCTTGAAGAAGTTTGTACCTGAGCCAGTAAGGCAGATAGTAACTGACATTGCCCAAGGTGCTAGCAGGGTTTTGTTTGATTTGGTAGAGGTTAACAAAGGTCTTGATGTCAAGGGGAAGGCCGAGGTGAAAGAAAAGGGAAATTGTATCGACTAGAGTACGGATGGAGTTTAGAGACCTGCCTCTAGAGCCTCCTCGAAGACGGCCAACTTGTCCTCGCCATGCTCCCAAGGAAAACCCACAGTTGGAAGGGAGTAGCCATAATGGTCTGGGAACCTATACGTAGTCGTGAGACTATGAATCTCCTCGACAGACAACTTAGTAGGACCAAAGTGGTTCAGAATCCTAGGCATAGATGGCTGGCAAGAAGACAAAGCCCTTTTGTCAAAATCTCACCGGTCTTGGACCGAGGCCCCCTCCTCAGCCAGACTGAACTGCACCCTCACCTCATCGGATTCACTACTTGACATAATGAAAAGAACAAAGAATGAAACAAGCAAAGGAAGATGACTCACCTAAAGGAAGAAATGACTAACCTCACCGATCGAACTAAAGACACCAACGACAACACGCTCTACGACCTCCAAACGCACCAGAGCTCAAAATGGGACCAAGTAAATGGGTCCCCAAGGGCCCTATTTATAGCTGCCTTAACCAACCACAAACAGTCCAGATCAAACAGATCCAATGGGTCCTAGAGGTGCAACTGTTCGTATTCCGAGGCATAAATCAATTGAGTGCATTTTTGACATATGTAGAACTTAATGTTCGCGTGATGTCCATGCATGCTCGAGATGCAACCTCACCCCCTAGGTCGAGCCAGCTAAGTCGATCAGGTTGAATCGTTGGTTGGATTATGGCTAAACCAAAGATCGGGCCAACTCTATTCACCTCGTTGTTACTCCCACCTCGAGTTGACCACATTGGGCTCAGGAGTGGGGGGCAATTGATGAGTGATAATTTGGCTCGCCCAGTGATAAGACGACATGTGGAGCGACGGACTGATTCGGCGACACTTCAGCATCCTTGGACACCTCAGGCACCTCAAGTCACCCATCTAGACTGAGGCCCGAGCAGCTCGCAACACCCACCGACCTGCCAAGGTGCCACATAGTATCTTTCTAGAAGAAAGCCAGTTATCTCCGATCTCCTCGGGATCACAATGCATGTCAGCGGATCTTATCTTCACCCTGCCCAATTCGAAAAGACCTGGATAAGCCTTATCTGCTCACTCGGAGTCCATCATTGGGTGCGAAGCTAACTTCAGGTTAGATGGGCCAATGACCTCGGACACCCATTGTGAGGCCCATGACAACTTGCTTATATAAAGGCTTTGCATCCAACCTCACAAGGTATGCATTATATTCTCATACTTACAAACTATCAGCTCTCTCTAAATTTCCTTCGCTAACTTAAGCATTGGAGTTTCAACATCGGATAAAGCACCCCAGAACACTCTGATCTTCTTGCCTTGCAATTTGACCCGGCCACATAATTAGTCCGATTTCCGAGCTACCCTCCAGCACAGAGCGACCAGGCATCATCAATCTGCTACAGCTAGTGCTCTCTCTCTCTCTCTCTCTCTCTCTCTCTCTTGTTCTACATGTTTATTTTTCCCATTTCTAATTGATTAAATAGTTAAATCGATCAGTTGACTCCGTCAATCACATAGCAGTCACCTGATAATGGAACATTGACTTGAAAAGTTTCTTCTAGAGGTAGAAAATATTGCACATAGAAAAGATTCTACGAGGAAAAATGGTGGACTGAATTCAACAATCTTTTCTCACCGGGATGAAAATTGGCTTTTACCCTCTCCCCAAGAGATGAAAGTTGAAAATCTAAGATTTTTGTACAAGAGCAAGACTGAGCTTTCACTGGGATTACTAGCTCTCACGTAATCAAAAGATATTTTCGCCGAAAAGAAAGCAACTTCAGATATTTTTTCATATTTTGGCATAGGCTAGCTACTCACTGGACGTGTGGTTTGTAGTCGATCCGGCTGTTACCAGTACATTACACTGAAAGAAATCAGACTGCATTACTCATGGAATCATCTTCCATTTTCCCCGTCTCGCATCTCTCATTTTTTCCGCCAAAATCTGACGGACCCAGAGCTTCTCCTATTCGGCCATGGAAGCAAAGGACCCTTCGGACAACTCCGCTTCGCTGTCAGAAGATGTATGTTCCTGGTGGGTGCTCCTCCTTGATTCCTCTTCCTTCTTATATTGCATCAAGTATCTACAAGGGCGGGTACTGATTCGATTGGGTTTGTTGCAGGATTTGGCGAAGCATCACCTGAAGCAAAGGCCGCAAAAAACCTTCACAGCTTCTTCAATTACATCGCCGTTAAGATTGTTCTTGCGCAGCTCGAGGTCTCTCCTCCTCTCTTCCTCTCCACTTACTTTGCCTGGTCTAGTTAACCTCTGTACTTCTGTGAGCAGCTGTCTTTTGCTTAGGCTGAATTTGCAGTATGTTAATTGGCTGCTAGCCAAGCGAGCTAATAGTATTCCATCAGGATTAGGAATTAATCCGTCCTTTTGAAGATTAGTTTGTTTTTTGTTAAGCCACATTTTCTGAACAGGGACCCCCTATGTAATATGGACTGGATTTCCAGTTCCACTGGCCAAATGTGAACTCCAGAGAGAGAGAGAGAGAGAGAGAGAGAGAAGTTCTACAACCTTGTGAGGATTCTATTTTGTAATCTTTCTTGTCATATACCATTACATGCTTACTTGCTGGAATTTTGTTCTTAGTTTTGTCCTATCGTTATGTTTCTTGGGTTGCTTCATTTGCTAATTGTGTTGCTCTTAGTTGAATGACGACTTGATGTTCCCTCCAACCCAGAGAAGGGCTTTATACTCTCCTTACATAAGTTCATGCTATGCACATCATATTTACTAGAAGCAAACATTACGGAACATTAGCTGCATATAGAGAACCTCATGCTTGAATATGATCATCCATATTTGGCCTTTTGATCTGTTTACAGTTATTTGACAAAGCAGAGCTATAACCCTGAGGCGTATGAAGAATTAACGGAATTCATAAGTAGAAACTCATTGAATGATGGGGACATGTTTTGTGCAAATCTGATGCGGGAATCTTCAAGGCATAAAGGTCTAGGTATGTAATTTCTAAATACAACATAATTTATTGCACTTCTGTTCTTCTTGGATGCTCAACTGTAGTTTTCAGCTCCTTCTCTGAGCTACTACATGTATTTGTTATTGTTCTGTCTGTTGAACTGCAAACTAATATATGATTTTTGAGGAACAGTGTTCCCATTACCTAACTAGGAAATCCTCTGCTTCTTTGTCTGTATTTTAATTATTGGGCATTTAAAGGTTTTATAGAAAACCACCAAAGTAAACATTTTAACATAACAATCCAAACCATATCATCTTTGTCTATTTGGTGAAGGGATCAAAATCCTCTGCTGCTTTGTCTGTAGAATTACACATAAAAACTGAGAACCTCATATGTCATTATAGTATTATTATCTTACTTTTCAACATTTGGTTAGATTTTATTATGCTATAACAAGGCCTCCTCACTGACTGCTTGTGCCTGTGACGCTTAACGCTTCCCATGCTACGATGTGGCAGCTCTTCGCATTTTAGAGGTTAGTAGCATGCATTCAATGGGCAATGTGTTCCTGGAATTTAAACCCCTTTAGTTTGTTATTACCATGGAAGCAACTCACATATGATTTCTGCTCTGGGTACCATATTCAGGTTCGGTCTGCATATTGCAAAAATGATTTTGAGTGGGACAACTTGAAACGACTAGCATTTAAGGTTGACAATCTCTCTACTGTTTTTTCTGTAATTGATTTTGTTTTTTCTCTCATATCTTTCAGTTGAATGAATTGCTGGCTTTATTTTGCAGATGGTTGAAGATTCCAACACCAGACTCATGAGGGATTACGTTTTAGAAACAAGTCATGTGGAAAATGAGAAGTAACATATGGGTTCTCTATTTTCTATACATACAGTATGACAAATATCATGGTACATATATAACCAGTATGGCAAATATATCATTGTATCCTTTTGTGGAGATTGGAGATTCCAACACCCATGTTATGGACGTGGGACTGAATTACAGAGCCCAAGAAATTGTTAATCAAGAGATGAAAAGCGTCCTTAGCAGAAGACTAGTCGTCAAATAGAAGTGCAGATGCATGTGGGACTGAGCTGCAAATGCCCAACAAATTGGAGAACAATCCCCAAGTGAAGTCAACCTCTTGTAGTTATACCTCAGCCGAAGTTCTGTTTGAAATTTGAATAGCTATAAGAGAGAATTTCAGGTCCGTTTGAGAGCGCCTCAGATGAAGCTTTTGGTTTCATGAAAGTTGTTATATTGTTGCTTATAGCCCATCTGTTGGTTATTATTTTGGAGTTTTGTATGAACTGAAGTTAGATGGTAAAGGTACATTTTGGTTGGTTTTATAATCACAGCAAGCTATTTAACAAAAGCCCGGATCCGCTACTCATTGAGCGCGCCTCACTCTGACCTCACAGCCTGTATTGGCCGTACATCATGGCTGTAAAATCTGTGTGAGGCGCGCTTTGTGAGGAACAGATCCCAATTCGGTTAGGGCAAAATTAGCTGATCATAATTAAAAAATGAAGAATATTTGGAGGGCAAATGGTCAATCTTGTATCTCAAGGAAAATCATCGAGTTGGATTGAACTTCAAAATTCAAATCTCCCTCCAGTCTCTTTTCTTCTTGGAAAATGCGGCAAGTGGTTGGGATTCGGGGTGGGCTTGGGGGAAAACCCGAAACTCTAGGATCGATGACAGGGCGGGGACGGTATTTGTCCACCCCGCCCCAACTCCACCTCAACTATATTATATAACATAATACATATAAAATTGTTAGTATATGCTAATGCATATTATATTATGTTATATTATATTACATAATATAAAATAGTTCTAGATAGATTTCAAAAAAATAAAAATAAAAATAAATAAATAAATTTACAAGTATACAAGTAAGAATGGTTAGGGCGGGGTAGAGTCGGGGATCTCCGTTCCCCATAGGGACAGGGTTGGGGTTAAGATTTTTAGCCCTACTGGGGTTCGAGGCGGGGAATTTCAATTCGGGGTTGAGTATGGAAGAAGCAAAACCCGGCCCCACTCGCCCTGTTGCCATTCCTAGAGGACACTTCAACTATTTATGGACCTAGATCAAATTCTGAGATAGGGGTTGTTTAGTTTCATTGGCGTTTATTTAGGTGATGTTTGGCATTTATGCTGATTCTTTTTTAAAATGGATAAATTTTGTTATTTACTATTATTTCTGCCATGTAAGCCAATTTTTATTGAGTCAGTTTGGTGCTAATTCTCAAGGGCCAATTAATTTTGTATTAGAGTTATTATTCAATGTTATGACATCCTCAACAAATGGGAATTAGCAATAAAAGGTTGATTTCAAGAATTGATTTTTGGCCAATGTCCTAAAATAACCAATATCAGCCAACTAAACAGAAATTTCAATGTCCATTATCTAATGCTGACGTATCTCCAGCATGGTAGTGATTTTCAATAAGTCATCATCAATGCCAAACATCACATAAGCTGTTTATGTTTTTTTATAGGCGTTTAACAAAACGCCTATAGGCTGTGGTGTGGTGTGGATTGGTCCTTGCCACAGAGTGTGGTGGTGATCCACACCACCCAATAATTTATCATCCACCCTACAAAACACTCCTTAAGGCTCAGTTTGGAAGGTGTACAAATGCAAATTTGTAGAGTGCAAAACCTTGTATTTTGTATGTATTTGCACAATACATATTTGTATTTGTACTTCTTCCAAATAGAGCCTAAATAAAAAATTGACACCATTTTTAGATAAATGGCAATAGAACAAACACCATCATTACAACTTTGCCCATGGTAAACAGCATGGTATATTCAAATAGTTGCATATTTGAATCATATGGGTTTGAATTATGTGAGCTTCAGGCTTCAGCTCTTTCTGTATAAGATTATTAGTATTGAGTCGTATTAGGGAGGTAGGGATGGCAATTTTACCCACAAAACTGGGTCCCTAATTTGACTCGCCCCGAACGGGGCAAATTTTGCCCGATCATAACTGGGGATGGGTCATTCAGGGGTTCTTCTTTTAACTCGAACTGGGGACAGGGCAAGGATGGGGTCTGCATATAAATCCCTGAACCTGCCCCAACCCCGGTTGTGAATTACAATAATACCCTTTTTATATATAGGTAATAGGTAAATCAGGTTTTGGCGTTTTACAATTTTGTTTCTCTTCATTCTTCGTCTCTTCCTTTGTAGATTACAGACTTTGCCTCTCAACTGTCAGAGAAGAAGAACCGCCGACCGCCGGGCACCGCCGTATCTACCATTCTTCTCCCTTTGTAGTTGTGTTTCTCCTTGTAACAGTGAGACCGGTGGTATCAGGTATGTATTTAAGTTTTCATTATTGAAATTGTATTTAAGTTCTCTGTAACTGTGTTTCTTGGTTTTCATTGAGTTTGATCTTCGACTAATCAATAGTCATCGTTATCCTATTTCTGTCTTGTCGTATTGGACCGTGTGATTAATGGTTTTTCTTGTATAAATAAAATTCATGTTGTTGTCTTGCTCATGTGTCCCTTTGTAACTATGAACTTGCCAATTGCCACATATTGGTCTGTGATTACTGATTAATGGTTTTTCTTGTTATCTTGTATAAATAAAACTCTTATGTATTGCTATCTTGCTGATGATTTTGAACTATGTAGGCAATTAAAAAAAAAAGATGAATTAGGGAGAGAGAAGAAAAAGAATATCCATCATCAGTCTATCAAATTTAAAAAGAAAAGTTGAACTATCAATTTGTTTGGACAAAATATTAAGAGAGGAATAAGATTATGGAGATTATTGTGTAGAGGGAAAGATTTTGTAATATCACTCGTGCAGCTGATCCTATGGGTGATTGATCCCGTTAAGTAAATGTAGGGATGGCAAATTTATCCATAATTTTACCCACAGCTCCCAGTTTGTAAAATCTAGTTCTCCAAAAATTTCCATCCAAGTTGTTTTAGAGGCAAGAGGAGATTTTGTTGAATGAGGTTCACCTTCCCTTATAATCAAATCCTGATGTACTTTCGTTCTTAGTGGTTTTCAATTATCATTCAGATTTTGTTTCTTTTCATGATCCTATATAGTGACAGATTCTTTGGGTTCCATCCATTCACATTATATTTTTTATTACTGGTTTTATTAGGTTTTATTAGGTTGAATAATGTGATTGTGCTATCAAGCAATACAATGAAGCAAGTTCAATGATTGTGGGGATATGTATCCCCGTCCCCAAGTTCAATGATTGTCGGGCAGAGACATATCGGGAATTCCCCATACCCAATGGAACCAGGTATAGGAGTTGAATCTTTACCCAAATATTAAGGAGAGAACAGGAACGGGTTAGGGGATTTTAACCACGGGGCGGGGATGGGGAGGGGTGCCCCGCCCCGTTGCCATTACTACAGGGAGGCGGGGCTTGACCGTAATCAGATGTATCAGAAGTAAATGTAGAATAGTACGTAATCAGATGTATCAAAATTTCAATTATTGTTGCCATCTATTGACAAGTTGGAATGACTTGAATTGTTGTCGTCATCTGGCTAGTAGATCGTTTGGCACTAAGGTGGATTTACAAAACCTGGAAAATACAGCTTTCTTGATGTTCAATATGTTCTTTTGTCTGGAAATTCCACAATGAAAAATGTACAGTATTTGACATTTAATTTTTATCATAACAATAAAATGTGTCCAATTTTTTTATATTTTTATGTAAAAATAATTCTTGTTTATCACACTTGTGTTTATTTAATTGAAGAATATTTTTTTAGTAAGATTTAATATGAAAAATACATAATATTATAAACATATTTAAATGTTTTTTACAAAATTTATATTTTTTATTTATTTTTAAAACTTTTACTATTTAATTATGACACCATAAGTTGACTCATTTGACCTGGATAGCTGAATTTCTTATTTGCCACTTTTGCATAAAAACTATTTCGATTTTTAGTCAATTAAAAATGAGCTTTATATTATTAAAAATATGGAATATAAATTTAATTAATAGAATTTATTAGTAAGAAAAAAAAATCTTACATATAGGATTTAATAAGAAATAATGGGATTTAATGCTTTAAATCTAAAAATTAATGAAAATGAATTGAATGAGGAGAAAAGTAAGAGTTCAACTTCAACTTACATTTTCAACCCACACACACACATGAATACTTGTTCATTTGCACTTACCTTAAGTTCCATGAAGGTCATAAAAATTGATATATGGTTAATACTTGCACATGTGCATAGCATGTGTTCTCACATTAATATATCATATATCATTATCTATATCTATCTATACTACTATAAAATAGATACTTGCCTTGGTTTTGGTGCAGGTCATAAAAACTAAATTTGATGATGATAGTATATAATATATTTTTTATATTTATACATCTATAAAAATTATTCTTATGTATCACATTTATTATGGTTCATTAATACAAAGATATGTCCAAATAAAATTCTTATAAAGGTAACGAGAATTAATAAAATTCTTATTATTCTTATTTATTATGGTTCAATTATAAAATTAATAATTTTTATCAATTACCTTCTTCAGAATTTTATTTGAATTCTCGTTACCTTTGCAAGAGTTAACTTTTATATGATAAATTCAACTTCAACATCTTCAACTGCTAAATACCTTATAATGAAATGCTATAAAAAAAATATCACTTACTCTTGTAGATATATTGCCATCCAATGATGTGGGCTTTAAGGTAACAGAAATTAAAAATTAGCCCACCATATAGTGGAAATAAAGAAGAAAAAACCATCTTCTACCTTAATGATCAAGAACTAAACCAATGAAGGTTAAAATGTTTTAAAAAACAAGAAAATAGTTTAAAGAATAAAATGATCATCCATTTGCAAGTTGGAAATCTCTTCATGGTGGTAAATGTGGCACAACATTTGCTATTGAGAATATAAGATGTGCTTTCAGGTTTTTTTATTTTTTTAATTTAAATGAATGAAAGGGTAAATTGCTAAAACCTCCCATAAATTTTTTGATCATTGCTAACCCCCCCCCTAAAGTTTGGTAAATGCAATCACCTCCCATGAACTTTTTGAAACAATAGCAAATAGACCCTCAAAATCTTCTAACAAAAAGCACAAAAATGTCCAAAATACCTATGTAGTTACTGATAGAGCACGATCTAGATGCTCTTAGCTAGAGGGCAGATCGGATGTCGGTCTGCTTTGTTGGTTGGTCGAACTACGAGAAAGTAACACTCAGAGGTAGTGGCACACGTAGACCAAGCTTTGTGCCTCCGAAGCATTTGGTGCAAGAACTGACTTCTAGAAGACCTGGGAGCGATGGGATTCACACGCAGAGGAGGTCGGCGAACAT